AAATCAAATGAAATAAAATTAAAACATCTGTAAATGTGAACATCTGTAAATGTGAAAGGCAAAATAAGAGAGATAAAAGAGAAATTATGACAGACAGAGAGGCAAACAAATGCATTTACGTGTACATGAAATCTGTCTAAAGACTTCTATTAATTTATTATAAAACTTGCATTTGCTAAATCCAGTGCATTTGCTAAATCCAGTTCAATGCTAACAAACTACCGTATAGCAGAAAATTTTCATGGCCAAAAAATTTTGCGGATCCATTCAAAAATCAATTTTGGGGCTTAAATTTTCGTGGTTTTCTACTTTTGGCCATCTTGAACTGTATTGAATCAATTTTTGTGGATTTTATTTTCATGGATTTTGAAAAAACGCGAAATCCACGAGAATTTTGGGCCATGATTATTTTCCGTTATACGGTATACAAATACAATGCTTTTCTAGCTTGGCTTCATCCTTTACATTCATTTATAGTTAGTATTACATATTTCTTACCACTGATCTGACCATCCCTGGTCTCTGAAGTCGGAGACCGCGTACAACTTGAAAGACGTCTACAAGTCCTTCGGCTTTGAGTTGATCGATCAGGAGGCACATAGCTATGTAAGTACCAGTTCTACCACAACCACCACTAAAAGTAGAAAGGGAGTGGTTACTAATAGCAATTGATCAAAATACAGTAAGCAAGAAGATTGTGGGAAGTAAAAGCTTCATCAAATTGAGCACCATCTGTAACTTAATCCAATTTTGAAAAACCAGTTAAATTTTTTTCGAAGCCAACACAAAATTTAAACTTCAAATTTTCTAACTATACATTAACTAACTATGCTTCTCTATTACTATACTAGGTGTATACATGTACTTACCTGCAGTGTACTACTATTGGTTTGTCACCAGAGTCCCTCTGCCATTTTTCTACTTGTTCTCTCACATCCAATAGACCAATGGCTGAATCAGGTACACCTTTGCTGGGCCAACTGACGTATTGGAACTGCTTAACATGTTGACTACTACCTTCAGCATCCTACGTATAGGAGAAAATAACAAAACACATTAACAAAATGCAATAAAGAAAGATTTATAGCCCCTACAAAATGCAACATAAAAGCCAATTGCTAAAAAATTAGCACAATTTTGATTTTCAAAGCAGGTCATAAACTATGTACATGTAAATATCAGTAGAAATGAAATTAAACTACAAGTATTACTGCTTACTCTGCTGTCAACTATCTTGAGTTCCCTGAGTATGTAGTCTGGGTATTCCCTTATTGAGTGAAGTGTAATCTCAAAAAATCCGTATATCTGAGTACCAGAATCAGGCCAGTACTTATGGCACATTGCCTAGAGAAAGAAGAGAGAGAGACAATCATATCAGTACAAAGCTCCAGTGCCTTATATCTATTATTAACATTGATTAATATTACATTTATCAACATGTAATAAATGTACATACACATGTACATATACACTTTTAATGCATGCACAATTTTACAATTTAATCTCCACAGAACATCTAACTACATGTGTATATATACAGTTTAATAATTACAGCAATGCTTGATTCATGTATTGTGTATAAAGCTCACCTTTCCTCTCTCTCGCTCATTAGCCAGCATTACGATAGTAGAGGACTTGTACTCCCAGACCATACGCCAGAAGTCGTCAGTGGTATCGGGTAGAGGACCTTGAGTAGCTATGAATGCTTTTCTTTTGCAATAGCCCTAAAGAGAAGAGATAAAAGATAAATAAAGTACATGACATAATCTAAAATGATT